TCTGTCGTTATTGATAGAATATGGCGGCGTGGTCCCCACCAGATGGACACGCGTCAGCCCCACTTTTCTCGTCAGGTGTGTGTCATGCGGGTAGCTGATTTTTTTTTCTTATTAAAAATACTGTTTTTATTTTATCACATTTTATTGAATATATATTAAGGTAATGATAAGGTCACCGGGGACCCACATGGATTTAACCGCAGCGCAGCCATCGAAGAAACCGGCTATCACCGGTGGATAAGGGCTACTGTACCTCAATAAAAAGTTGGGTACTTAACCGAAATTGATTAGAAGCAAGAAAGAAATTTTTGATTTAATTTATTTATAGTTATTAATTATTAGTCTAATAAAATAAATCAAATTAATAGAATTAAATTTTGTTTACGCATGTTATATTTTTATAGACAGAGAGTCAAGGTATGGTATTAAATCTCGACCCATCTCCGATTATGAAATATGCAAAATATACATTATAAAGCTTTGTTTATTTAGTAAGAGAATGAGGAAAACTATTGGATGAAAAAAAACCTAACTTTTTGTGGGTCCGTTTAAGAAGAAATGTGATAAAAAAATTATAATATTAAATAAGAAGACAAGTGAGATTTGGAGGTTTGTGTTCGTAAGAAGTGCCATGAAATATTTGAAAGAAGGAGATAAGTGAGATTTTCTATTATTTTTTTTCTTTTAATTTCTCTTAATACAATATTAGATGAGTGACATATATATGATTTTAAATTTCAATGGATAACATGTTTTCTCATTCATTTTGTTGTTGGTGGAGTGTTAACTATTATTAAAAATTTCTCTCACAAGAAAAAATGTTATTCATTAAATTTAGAATCTTACACATGTCACTCATCTAAGACTGTATCAAAAGAAATTAAAGAAATAAAAAAAATGACCTAAACTTGAGTTATGTGGGACCCAGACTATTTTATCTCAATTTCACCCATTAAAGCCACCTTAAACCATGAACCAAATAGCCCCATGGTGTCTCCAGTGATAGAGCCACCCAGGGGGCCACCCTTAATGTTTATTTGCTTACCGTTACTCATGTAATTTGTATTATTTTTTTAGTATGTCAAATTATGTCCATCTTATTACGTTTTTATCATGTGAATTAATATAGACCAGTTCCTAAATACTATTTTTTGACACATAATATATCCTTTTAAAATTTGGTTGTTTTATTTAAATGAGTGGTACAAATATTACTGATAGCATACTTGTGTGTATACAGAAAAATATTTTTTTGATGGTATTAATAATGAAGTTATTATATAATACTATGTTTGGTTCAAGGATTAGATTTGGGTGGTGGTATTGGAAATGATATTCATTCTACTCTTACTCAATCGAATACTATATCCCGTCTTAAATTTTTATCTTATCATTCTCCTTGTTTATTTGTTACAAAAATTAATTGTGTGATACCTACCTAAAAAAGTGTTTCAGGTGAACTATTTAATGTAAAAAGATAATTGTAACCTTATAATCCAAAGTAATTCATGTCGTTGTTTGTTTGTACAACCACCTATGCATGACTAAAAAAAAATCGGTGACACCGTACGTTTAAACATAATAAAAGAAAAAATTTAAAATAATTTTTTTTTAAAAATAAAAAAATAATCGGTAACACTGTACGCTTAAACATAATACAAGGGAAAAATTCAAAATAAGTTTTTTAAAAAAACCGGTAACACTGTATGTTTAAACAAAATACAAGAAAAAAATTTAAAATAATTTTTAAAAAAAAATCGGTAACACCATACGCTTAAATATAATACAAAAAAAAAATTCAAAATAAAATTTTTATATGTAAACTTTTAACAGAGGAGGGTATTTGTGTTATTTTACTCTCTTATACCGTCCTTTCATTTGTACCATGAAGATAATACCATCGGGTAGGTGGTATTCATTAATACCACATACAAGACATTTATATGTATGAAAACCTATCTGGGGTTTAATTGTAAATAATTATAATTCAACCTTATTGTTAGTAAAAGGTTATAGTCGATTTTTTTTTTAACATTGTATATCAATTTCTGTCTAATTTTGTGTTGAATAGAGTTTTAAGCATCATTCGTGAGATAAATAAATATAAACATATTATCTTATTTTTATCTGTTAGGATAAACTTATTAAGTGCCCACTTATTTTTATGGATTCATTGTCATTATATCAGTTAAATAATCAATTCTCTGAATTATATCAAAGCTAAATCATTTAATACTTCTTATTTAATGAAGTTTCTCCATTGATTATAATGGAAAAAAGTTCAATGCACGTATTACACGAAAAAATGTTCAGTGTAACGGTGACACTATATCATAATTATCTCGTGGTGTCACTATTTAATAAGAAATAATCAAGTGAATAAAATGAGGATACTTTCATAGATGGAATTGTTATTGAATTACAAGTAGAGGTGGTCACGGACTGGCGGAACCACAATTGAGCACCCTAACTTTTGCAAAATCCCTTTATGTGGTAATAGTTTGAGACCATGATTTTATTTATTTTAAGAATCCCCCCCCCTCCCCCCTCCCCCCTCCCCCCCCTTTGCTTGTGCTCCTCTTTTCCTCTTCCCAATACTTCACTTTGGTTTAATTATTTTATTTTTTTT